TTTGACACAGCGGTATTTGCATAAAGCGCTATACAAATAAAGGTAAAAATTACAAAAGATGTTCATCCATCAAACACAGGAACAGAATGACTGAAACTGTCTTTTGTTTTTTTTTTGTGAGTGAGATGAATTAATGCATATTCATATTTATTTTAGAACTACAGTAACGTCTCCTGATTTCTCTCAACATGGGGACAGGAGAGCTGTCAGTCAATAAATTGGAGAGAGAAAAAAAAGTAACTTGTGTTACTTATCTGAAAAAGTTACTCAGATATTCTCTTGTAAATTAAAAAATAATGCGTTACTTTACTAGTTACTTGGAAAAAAGTAATCTGATTACGTAACTTGCGTTACTTGTAATGCGTTACCCCCAACACTGAATATAACAATAACAATATAGCCAAACCTTTATGCTGTGTTATAATGAAACGTGTGGTTGTGGTTGCATTAAATGTCAAGATTGTTTTATGTCCCTCACCAGGATGAAAAAAATCAAATGATGACCACGAATGTGTGGGTGAAACAAGTGAGTGTTTCCCTGTTAAACACGATTCTCTGTCCTGCTCTGACTCATCCTGATTCCTGACAGCTCGTTTAATCACGGCCCCTCTCTTCATTAGGAATGGCATGATTACCGGCTCCGCTGGAGGCCTGCAGACTATGAGAACATCACCTCGATGCGGATACCGGCGCAGTTCATCTGGAAGCCGGACATAGTGCTGTATAACAAGTAGGTGATCAAAGAAACAGCATCTGATTGACAGGCTGCAGTGACAAACAAACTCCACAGGGGGCGCCACAGCATCTCTCATGCATTCCACATCAGTCTTTGTGTGTGCATTTAGGGTTAGGTGTTTTATTTTTATTTTAAAAGTGTAAATCACCATGATCACCTTTTATGATTTATTCACTACGTTCTCTGTAAAAAAAGCACCTGAAAATCTGATTCATGAGGTTTGAGTTTTAACTGAAGGTGACGGAATTCAGCATGATGTTTTTGGGATGTCGCTGAGTTATAAACTCTTGAAATTAATTCTACTAAAACTATTAGAATCAAAACTGCATGTGGGCTCAATAGGGTTAAATTTGTATTTTGGCATTTACTAACCATCACGTCATTACAAACCGTGTGACTTTTCTTTTTTTCAATGGAAAACAAACAAATAGAATAGAATAGAATAGAATAGAATAGAAAATGGTTTTCCATACAATGTGGACTTAAGAAGTCACATTCCAAAAAGCACAGAAAAGGAATATACAATAAAATAAAATAAAATAAATCATATTGGAATTTGGAAGTCTTCTAAAACAAGTTATTATTGAATAAACATTTTCCTCTCTGGGCCCAAAAAGCCTCCATTAAAAGCCATTCAAAAGCGTAACAAAATAAAAGGTATAGTTAAATAAATAAACAAACAAATAAACATATGTGTGTGTGTGTGCGTGTGGGTGTGTGTGTGTGTGTCTATAAATGCATATATATATATATATATATATATATACTGTACACACACACACACACACACACACATATATATATATATATACACACACACACATATTCTCATTTTCGTTTAGTACTAAAATATTAAAGTGAAAACAAAAATAAAATCTAATTCAAAATATTAACAAAAACTATAATAGTATATTGATGATAATAAAATAACACTGGTATTTACTGAATATATTTAAGCATGATTTTATTTTATTTTTAATTTCAGTTCATTTTTCTTTTGTTTTCTTTTTTCCCTTCCTTTCCATTTCTTTTCTTTTAAAAGTTTAAAATGGACATGAATGGAATTACTCTCTTCAAGAATTGTAGACTTTGGATATGACACGCCATATTTAGAGGTGTTTGAAAGATATTTATTTGGAAGACATTGCAAACCACCGATTCACTTTCATTGTATGAAAAATGTGAACATTCTTCAAAACTTGTGCTTCAACACTCTTAAAAATAAAGGTGCTTAAAAGGTTGTTCACAGCGATGCCATAGAAGAACCATTTTTGGTTCCACAAAGAACCATTCAGTCAAAGAACCATCTCTTTCTTAGCTTTTTATAATCTGAAGAACCTTCTTTCGCCACAAAGAAGCTTTTGTGAAACAGAAAGGTTCTTCAAATGTTAAAGGTTCTTTATTGAACCATTTAGACAAAAAAATTTCTTCTATGGCATCATGAAGCACCTTTATTTTTAAGAGTGCATGGAGGCAAAACTAGATTGAAGATCCGATGCTGTGTTCCTGCAGCGCAGACGGTGATTTCACCGTGACTCACCTGACCAAAGCTCACCTGTTCCACGACGGACGAGTGACCTGGATCCGGCCGGCCATCTACAAGAGCTCCTGCAGCATCGACGTCACGTTCTTCCCCTTCAACCAGCAGAACTGCACCATGAAGTTCGGCTCCTGGACGTACGACCGCGAGAAGATCGACCTGATCCGCACAGCCGACAGCGCAGACCACACAGATTACTGGGAGAGCAGCGAGTGGGCCATCAGCAGCGCAGTGGCCACCTACAACCTCAAGAAATACGAGTGCTGCTCCGAAGCCTACGCCGACATCACCTACTCCTTCATCATCAGGAGACTTCCGCTCTTCTACACCATCAACCTCATCGTTCCCTGTCTGCTGATTTCATGTCTGACCGTGCTGGTCTTCTACCTCCCTTCCGACTGCGGAGAGAAAGTCACCATGTGCATCTCTGTCCTCCTGTCGCTCACCGTCTTCCTCTTGCTTATTACAGAAATCATTCCGTCTACATCTCTGGTGATCCCTCTGATTGACGAATACCTGCTCTTCACCGTGATATTCGTCACTCTATCCATCACCATCACTGTGTTTGTGCTGAATGTGCATCACAGGTCACCAGAAACCCATTCGATGCCTGAATGGGTGCGTATGTTCTTCTTAGACATCATGCCGAGGTTCCTTCATCCAGAAGCCTCCTGTGTTGCAGAAGAACTTGCGAAGAACATCTGTTGATCCTCGGAAGAGGAAGAAGAGCACCGCTGCTTCTGTTTGGGACAACGAAGAGAAGAAGGAACCAGCTTTATCCATTCCTCTGAAGGTGCATTCTGCATTCATGCATTCGTTTGCATCAACGTGCGCAAATACAGGCCGATCGAAGACTCGCTCACACAGTGTGGAGATCAGTCTTGGAGAGCGAGATAACGCCAGCATGCGTTATCGCTCACGCAGCATCCAGTTCTGTCCTCTGCACGATCAAGATCAATGGAGACCCTCCAGAAAAACCTCCAAAGTGAGCAGCGCTGGAGAACATCCACAGTTCACTCCATCTCATGCTTCACGGCTGGCCATGGAAGGAGTGCAGGACATCGCTGAGCACCTGCGCGCCGAACACGCCGATTCATCTGTACGTCTTCTTAAGGGATTTCCTTTCGAGTAGCTTAAACTTGCTTGATTTTTAGAACATTTCTTGACATCATATTTACTTTTGATTTGGATATGAGTCGAGTTAACATTAATTTGTTAAACTGCAAGACTAAATCAACTGCAAAAAATAATTACTTTTATTAATTTTTTTTAAACATAAAACTTGATGTTCAATAAAAAACATCCATGTTATTGTATTTTTAATTATTGCATGACGTGTGTGTGTGTGTGTGTGTGTGTGTGTGTGTTGCCTTTTTCAATTTTTGTCATGCAATAATTTAAAATGTATTATTAAAAACATTACTAAAACATGGATGTTTCTTATTTTGGATCAACATTTAATATTTGTTTTAATTTATAGGCCTAATGTAAACACACACACACACAATTCAATAATATAAATTATGATCTAAAATAAGAAACATCCATGTTTTTGTCCTTTTTTTACATTTTTAATTATTGCATGATAAAAATAATTTAATGAAATGATGACCTTATATAGGCTATTTACATGTACATCTATGTGTGTATGTGTGTGTGTGTGCGTGTGTGTGTGTTTACATTACATATTAAAATAAATTTAAACATAAAATGTTAATCTATAATAAGAAATATATCCATGTTTTAATCATGTTTTTAATAATATATTTTAATTATTGCAGGACAAATATAAATTAAAATTAAATAGTGACACACACACACACACACACACATACAATATTAATTAATATAACTTTTGCCAAAATGTTGATCTAAAATAAGAAACATGCATGTTTTTGTTGTTTTCTAATTTTTTGTAATTTATTTTTTTATTGCATGACAAAATAATTTATTGAAAGCGTGACCGTATATATTTATACATATACATAAAATAAGAAAAATGTCCATGTTTGGTATTTTTTACTCCATGCCCACAATGTTCTATGTTTTATTTCAGGTGAGGGAAGAGTGGAAGTATGTGGCCATGGTCATCGATCGGCTCTTCCTGTGGATGTTTATATTAGTGTGCATTCTGGGTATTGTAGGCCTGTTCCTCCCTCCATGGTGGGCTGGAATGATCTGATGATCATCATCATCATACAAAAAATAAAATAATAACAATAATAATAAAACTCATAGATCTGGAGCTAGTGAATATCATGATGCTCATAATATGGAAAAATTAAAGAATGAAATTAAATATAATGTTATCTAAATTTTAAATGTTTTTTCCCTCTGTTGTTAATATTTTGTTAATATACTGTAAATGTTGTTAATAATATATTATCTAATGGATGGAAATTAAAAGTGCATTAAATGTATTAATAATAATCATGGTATTGTGTTTGACATTCCTCGAAACTTTTTCATCTTTAAAATAAAAAATATTTTTCAGGTCTTTTAATTATTTTTTAAAGAAACAACAGTATATTATTATATGTTAATATTAGATTTTAACACAGGAAACAAACTTTTTATAAGATATTTTTTTCTTGTATTAAAGAAGCAAACCTAAACAGTGCAGAATTCACAAAAAAAAATAATAAATACACAAGATTTTACTGTGGTAAAATAATTAGTGTAGTAAACTTGCAGTTAAAGAACGACCTTCCACTCTTTTCCGCCGAACAGATGAACTACATTTCCCACAATGCACCAGAAACCGCCAACAACTTCCTCGGGACGTGTTTATTACTGACCGCGTCCGCTGCCAACATGATGGATCTAACAAACCAGCAAACCAGAGTCTCGTGAACTACATCTGATTCACTGACTTAGTTGTGGTTTTATAAACCAACGTGTTAGTATCGAAATTTCCAGAAGAGCTCATGACTGTTTACGTTGTTCAGAGCGCTGAAGCTAAGCTAAGCTAAGCTAACTGTACACAGTGTTGTGTTTGTGATATGAACTGGTCAATAGTCTGTTTTTGAGGATGTACACTTTATTATCGGGTCTCTACAAATATGTATTTCAAAAGGACGAGTACTGCATCCTGATCCTCGGTCTGGACAATGCGGGAAAAACGGTAAGACTAGTAATAAATAGTTAAAGCCTCCTTCACTTTTACTAAACGAGAAGTAGTTAAACTGTTGATAAAATTATTCAATAAAAGGCTTGCTGATTTAGTAACGTTTTGAGGTTTATGATGCACAAAAATCCTGTCTAGGTAGGCTGCTCACTAGAATTTGAGGCTAAAATGCTCACTAGTTAGGTAACGTTAACGTTAGCACACTAGGTTTTGACATTGTAACGCATCTGTTTCTGTGTTTGTAGGCAGCTTATTTATATCCTACACTAAATGCATAAAGCGAGGTTTTTATGTTGACATCTCACTAGGGATATGCCGGTATCAAATTTTCATGTTGCGATTAATTGCTAATGCTTTTATCACGGTATGCGGTATTATCACGATATTGAAATTTAGTTTTAAAAAAGTGCTGTCATAATACAGTATAACAGGGTTAATAACAAAAGGTTTTCTTATAACAAAAATAACACTAGTTTCTCACTTGACGTGTTTTTTTTTTTATTATTGAATATTGTAGACATTTCTGGAACAAACAAAAACAAAATTCAGCAGAAACTACAAGGGCATGAACCTTTCGAAGATCACAACTACAGTCGGCCTGAACAGTGAGTGATGCATGCTGTGAAACCGAATCAAATCAGTAATAGAGTGAGCAGTGGTTTAATTCATTCGTCTGGTTTCTGTTTCAGTCGGCACCATTGATGTGGGAAAAGCTCGTCTGATGTTTTGGGATCTCGGAGGACAAGAAGAACTACAGTCTTTATGGGATAAGGTGACATGCTATCATTGCATCTGGGGATCTGGTTTATTTTGCTTTGCGTTTGGCATAGTGAGTACATTGAATGGTCATTGAATCTGTTTCTAATGTTATATTCATCTCGTTTCAGTACTATGCAGAATCTCATGGTGTCATCTATGTCATCGACTCCACCGATGAGGAGCGACTGGGCGAGTCAAAGAACGCTTTCGGTGAGTTTTGCTGCAACGAGGGATCAATGCAGTTCTGTACAATCACCAGTGCTGTCATTTAATGAACCCATCTAAAATAGGGGCGTTTAAGTAAGTAACTCTTTAAGTAAAGGATATAAACACTGTTATAATGTACACAAAAATAGTCAAAGGTCTTCCTTCATATGAAATGCAGGTTTGTTTAATAAGACTGCATTATATTATATTATATGCAAAATTAATTAAAGTAAATCATATAGGCCTATTTTGTTATTTTTTTTAATAATTATATATGATTTCTGCAGGTTTAAAAAAGCCCTAATTTGCCCTTCCACAAATAAAGGCCTTAAATCAGAGCCAACAGTCTTCGTTTCATAAATGAGTGGCATTAAATGTCTCATGCACTGCAAAATAAATAAAACAAAAAAAGAATATCTTCCTCAATATTGTCTTGTTTTAGGACACAAACATCTAAAGTTAAAAATAAATGTGACCCTGGAGCGCAAAACCAGTCTTAAGTGTCAATTTTTCAAAATTGAGACGTATACATCATCTGAAAACTGAATAAATAAGCTTTCCATTGATGTATGGTTTGTTAGGATAGGACAATATTTGGCTGAGATACAACTATTTGAAAATCTGGAATCTGAGGGTGCAAAAAAATCTAAATATTGAGAAAATCATCTTTAAAGTTGTCCAGATGAAGTTCTTAGCAATGCATATTACTAATCAAAAATTAAGTTTTGATATATTTATGGTAGGAAATTTACTAAATATCTTCATGGAACATGATCTTTACTTAATATCCTAATGATTTTTGGCATAAAAGAAAAATGGATAATTTTGACCCATACAATGTATTGTTGGCTATTGCTGCAAATATACCCCAGCGACTTCAGACTGATTTTGTGCTGCAGGCTCACAAATAAATAAACAAATATCTGTCAGTGGGAAATTAAACTTGCTAAACTATTGAATGAAGTTGAATTTTGACTCTGACATTGGCAGATATTTGCTCTTTTTTTTTTTTATCCTAAACTCCTCATAAACTTAATTTTGATTAATTTCACAGAAAACAATACTTCTTATCTTATGTAATTTTGCTTCTCAAGTAGATGTATATTGATTTATGAATCTTTAGACATTTGCATTGGAAAACAAGACAAAAATACTGAGGAAGAGCGTCACTTTTTTTTGCGGTGCAGTGAGTGAGTGAGTGTGTAGAGTGTTTTCTGTAAATTCAGAGAGTGGATGCAGTTATCATACCACATGTAACTTATGATATTATTTTTGGGTGATACTCCGAGTTTGATATCTTTGCTGTGATGCTGCAGACATTGTAGATATTAATTTCTATGCTAAACTGACACTAGTTTTTTCTGATGAGTTTTTATGTTCTCTGAAAATCACCTTCAGATTCAATCAATCATTTCTAAACAGAATGAAGATGGCGTTTCAAGAGGCGTTGTTTTTAAGACCCAACAAATCAAAACCCGATTTCTAATCGCTCACCAATTCTATAATAAAGAGCAGAGATGGAAAAGAAAGCCCTTGTGTCTCAGTTTAATTTGCACGACAGATGTTTTCCAAACTCTTACAAATCCAGGAAATGTCTTATTCTGTCAGGATGGGGTTGTATTGATTTACTTTTGCCTAAGCTGAATGCATTTTGCATGAAGGCAGCAGTGAATCAATAAGCGCTGCTCATGTAACGAATGTTATTATAGCAGCAAGCATCACATCTGTGACCTCAGACACTTCAACCTTTCGCTTGACCTGCAGAATATTATACGTGTATGCGTGTGTGAAAGATAATCAATATAATGATGAACATGTGCCACCTCTCTCTGCTCTGAATGCACATCTTTAGGACCAAACATTCCCAGTTTAGAGACGCAGATGTCATGTGTTAAATATTACTATTGCTCATATTTAATGTTTTTTTTTTTTGCTCCGATCTCTAACACTAAGTCTTAGCGTTCAGTGCATATACAAGTGTTTGAGAGAGGATCTAAACTAGCTTAAATCAGGCTGCTCCCCTGTGCAGTTGTTTTAGGACAGCAGACTCAATTGAGCCGCTCTTCGCACGCAAGCCTTCAGCAGAGGCATGAATTGTGTATGAAGACTTATGTAATAGTGCATCAGTGGATCTGGAAAGGAACTGGAATAACTCTGGCACTTTCGCTTACACTGCAAAAAAACTTTACAGTAAAGATACATTTCTTTAAGCAAAATTGGTAAAAATTAATTTTAAACAATTTATCTTGAATTAACTTTTTTCAACCCATTGCAAATAGTTTTTTTTCTGTTGAAATGTTTTATTCATTTTTGCCAGATGAAAAACATCACAGACTTTGAATTTATTTTTCTTCTCTTTTTTTATTCATTTTTTAAATTTTGTTGATTTATCATTGTCAGATGAAACCCACCAGACTTACACAAGTTTTTAATTTTATTTTTCTATTTTCTTGATTTATTTTTGCCAGATTAAAACGTCCCAGACTTTGATTTTTTTAATTTTATTATTCTTTTTTTTTTATTTATTTTATATTTAATTTATTTGAAGTTTGTTGATTTATCTTTGCCAGATGAAAAATATCAGACTTACACTTTTTTTTTAAAAGTTTTTTAATTTTATTAATTTTTGCCAGATGAATACATTCCAGACTTTTAAGTTTTTTTTTTTTTAATTTAATTGTATTTTTTTTATTAATTTTAAATTTATTTATTTATTTATTTTATTTTAAACATCACAGACTTACACTGAAGAGTGCCTAATTTGGACTAGTAAGCAAATGCATAGCAACATGCAAAAAGGCACTCTGAACACCCTAGTTACAGCAAACCAATAACAAAAAAATATATCAAGACTTGATCATTATTTGTTGCATGTGACAATTTTCTACTTTTATTCCATCTTAATTTACGGTCATTATCCCTTACATTACTCCCAGCGGTCTGATGTATGTAAGTGTCAAAGGTGTACAATACTCTTTTGAAATAGACAACAATATCTAGAAATATTTACCAGATACAGCAGCCCAAAATGTAGAAGCATTAGATTAGAAAATATAATAGAACAAATTATCAAAGCAAGCAAACAAATGCTGCAAGAACTTTTCTCAGCCCTAATGACTTCTAAATGGGTGTTTTGGTTATTTTTAGTGTTATGCTCAGATATATGCATAACTTGTACTTTTTGAAGGTTGTGTGAGCAGTAAAAATAGCTCTTGTTTCCAAGACAACGGTACTACACTTTATTATTATTGTATTTTTTCTCAGTTTATCTCTTGATCCGACAACATTGCTGGTTTTGTCAGCGATGCCATTTCTTTCTTCATCTCTCGTCCTCTCCACCTTCACCTCCTCCGCCTCTCATCCATCATTCCTCCCCTGATAATACAGACCACTGGCTGTGCGTCACTCCTTTAGTGCTTCACTCCGTTCATCTCTCCGCTCAGCATCCATCCGTCCTCCTCCGGCAGCACTATGGACAGCACAGTTTCAGGTAAGACCCAGAATAATCTCTGTCTTTAGAAATGAAGCTGAGACACTAGGGAGATTTTAGCACGAGTTATTGCATGAGATTGCACGACCTGCTGCAGAATCACGTCTTTTAGCGTGACATTGGCACTGGTGAACATGTCCTTTGTCAAGCATGCATGCTCTATGCTATCTAAGGGATAATAATGCCATTAATGAATAGATCCTTTTAATACAGGGAGTTTCTGTTTGAACAAGACTGTTATTGTGCGTTGGAGTGTGCTGATGCTCAACACTGCAGATGCTGGGCTATAAAAAACACGGGTTCATTTGGAGGGTAGCAGTGCTGCAAAGTGTGGCGCAATATTGTAGATGTGACTGTCTAGATCGCATTCAAACACATACAGTCAGGAATCAGTCATCCACTATAGTATGATCATCTCATATCGACTTTGATAAGACCTTAGAAAGAACCTTGAGCAGCCGATGAGCAGAACTGCTCTGCAACATTGGTGAAATTAGTTTGCATTGTGTTTTGCATCTGAAATAGCTGTAGATCTTCTATAAATAACAGCAGTAAGTTGTGTGCTTTGCTCTAACGTCCAGCAGACAAAGCAGGATTTGAGTCCTCTTTGCTGTCTCAGCTTTCTTGCAAAGTCACCTTTTTGTTGAGCTCATGGGTAATAAATAAACGTGCTCCGATGCACACAAACACCATTAGCTCCTGTAATAAACACTAAAAAATTTTAAGTCTGTCCCTTTTGCATGCATGCATTTGCTTTGTGTTGGTGATTTGGGATTCCTGACGTTGCTTTACTAAGTGATCATCATGACACTTAGCTCAGATTCACACAAGTTCACACTGCATTATTTGGCTGACATGTCTTGTGCTGTGTTAACTGGATCAATAATGCATGAATCAGATTTAGGGTGGGGTTTGATGCCAAATGCAGCCCAGTAACATGCTTGCATTTATGCATCCCTTATAAAATATTTCATGACGCAATACTGGTCAGTTCAGGGAAACGCTTTTACATCTGATTCTGTAAGATATTGCTGTAATACAGACTCTCCCTTCCCATTTACCAATAACAGCACATTTCCAATAATTAACGCATTATTTAGTCATGTTTTCAGTAGACATTTTGAAACGTCTACTGAACTTTTACAGGGTTTCTGCAGATTTTATGAAAAGTAAAAATAAGTTGCATTAGCTAAACTTGCAACCAATCTCCATTACTTTTTAAATCATCACTGAAAAAAAGTGACATTCTTCCTCAGTTTTTTGTCTTGTTTTCCTGCAAATGTCTAAAAGATTCTTAAATCAAGATGCATTTACTTGATAAACAAATAATATAAAATATTTAAACATTCTGTGACTCTCCAAACTGTACACTGTCCTAAATAGTATGCTAAGTATTGGCCCGAATATAAGACGACCCTGATTATAAGACGACCCCCACTTTTTCCAGATGTACCTTTTGGAAAAAGACTTTTTAAAAACCAAATCTTGTTTTTTCTCAGTAAAACACATTTTGTCTTCAATTATTTTCATATTGCATATTTTTCATATTTTAATTTTTGTTTTGAAAGTATGGTAAAAACTGGTAAAATGTACCAACAATCACATTTAAAAAATATACACTTTTTGATATACCATTTAAAAAAAAAAAAACGGGTAGCCCATCTGAATTAGGACATTTAGGCTATCCATCTAATAGTAGCCTACCAAAATCTTATTAACAGTAGAAGTTAAATCTTACTGTAGTCTTAAAATCACAAAGGGAGTTTGGTGCCATCAGGCTAACATGACAGTCACGGTTCATGCAGCTGTAAGGTTTTCTTTTTCTTTTGTTTTTACTCGTGATCTTTACAACACGCATTACGTTACGTATTTCATGGCACACTCGTTTTATGCGTATTTGGCGCCACCTAGTGTTGTGGGTGTATTATTGACATGTCAAAGTCTAGACCCTGAATATAAGACGACCACGTTTTTTCAAATGTATTTCCAAGAAAAAAACATCGTCTTATATTCGGGACAATACGGTAATAACTGGTGTCTAAAATAATAGAATGTCGTAGACCAAAGGTGTCTGCACTTTACCCATTGCATGTAAAGTTCTGGTTAGTTCACTGCATGCATATGCATCACTGATTTACTGTCATATTTACTGTATTCAAACAAGATTTCTCTCTTTCTCTGGCAGCCTACTCTGAGAAGCTTAGAGAGATGTCGGTGTTGTCTCTCCTCTGCTCCTGTTTGTATTCCCAGCCTCTTCCCAACACCTTCGGTCAGTTTGAAGGTAGGAGCTTCAACAGTCAAACAGCCAATGATTGAAGGCCTTACTACCAGAATATTTAGGTTTAAGTTTATGCATCACAAAGTCTTTGTCCTAATCATCATTCCTCCACAGATATGGAGGTGAAGTCGCTGAATAAGCGAGCTTCTGGCCAAGCATTTGAAGTCATCTTGAAGAGTCCGACTGAGCCGTCTCCAGAGAGACCCCAGACTCTGGCACTGCCGCCCCAGAAGAAGGAGCCTTCCCTGGGGGAACTACAGAGGAGGCTGGAGGCCGCAGAGGAGAGACGGAAGGTAAGATGATGATGCCATTGAATAACGCTTATTACTTCATCTGTTGAGTTGTTTTCTGTGAAGCACTGCATATAAACATCCAGTTTTCCTATGTTTTTTGGACACCTTCACTCTTAAAAATAAAGGTGCTTCACGATGCCATAGAAGAACCTTTTTTTGTCTAAATGGTTCCATAAAGATCCTTTAACATCTGAAGAACCTTTCTGTTTCACAAAAGGTTCTTTGTGGCGAAAGAAGGTTCTTCAGATTATTAAAAGTTAAGAAAGAGATGGTTCTTTAAAGAACCTTTGACTGAATGGTTCTTTGTGGAACCAAAAATGGTTCTTCTATGGCATCGCTGTGAAGAGCCTTTTAAGCACCTTTATTTTTAAGAGTGTTCTTGTTCTTGTAGAGTTTGCCAACAGGATGTTTCTTGAGCTACACATCCAGCTTACTTGAATAACATTTAATTATTTAGCAGATGCAATTATCTATTGAGACGCATTCATGAAAAGTACAAGCACATGATGTTTTATTAACAAAGTTCGGGAGGAGCACGTTCAGATAATTAACCCGGCCAATTCATCATCAGCAATTACACCATCTATCCTATCAGCTCGAGAGAGAACTTCTATAAATAGCCCAAGACATCTTACCTTCATTCTCTCTACTGTATTTCAGCATTCGGTTCGCTCCTTTTGCCTTTTTATCACAGACCCAATTATTTCCCGTCCAACGACGAGACCGATACTGGGGATTTTTCAGATCCCCCTCCGCAATTTGCCGGCACCATGATCACTCCTTCTCCGCCAGACACGGCCACCAAGCACCAGGCTTCATCGCGGCCGCCGCTCTTCTCGACCAGCCACACGCTCTCCACGATGCAGAGGCTTAACCTCGCCTCCACTGGCGAGACTTCCAACTTCCCCAGCATCCTCGTATCATTCGGCCGTACCAGCAACTCCTCCGATCGGAAAGTGGACAGTATTTAAGTCCGAGGCAAACGTGCCTCCAACTCTCGTAGCAGACGCTAGCTCGAGGTTGCCTCCGCTAGCGGCGCAGGCTGTGTTGCAAATTAATTAATTTCTGGTGAAGTCGCTAAAAGCAGGTTTTGTGGCTAAAGTTTGTTAAATTACGTTATGACATAAACGGATGTTGATGCCATTTTGTAACCATGACACAAACCAGGCGTTTTTTCAAAGTTTATCATCCACACTGAAATGTCTGAAACCGTTACATTCACCTTACTGTGCATGTATAAAACCTCACTGAGATGATACAGACCGCAGCGGCCCTGTGGGGGAATGAATCGTCCACCACCAGCATCATAGTGCATTGCGATAACGAAGCGGCCGTGCATTGCATCAATAAAGGCCGGTCCCATTCCCCTGCATTAATGCCTTTTCTAAGACATCTCATTTGGACTTCAGCTTGCGACCAATTCATTTTAAATGCGAATCCCGGACCCAAAAAATCAAATAGCTGACACTCTCTCCCGTTCTGCTTTCCAGGAATTCAGGCTGCTGGCGCCGATATTCCCATAAGCCGCCCGCAAAAATAAATAAATAAATAAATAATAAATAAATCAAAAATATAAAAACCCTTCTAGATGCCTCACTCAGTTCTATTCTCCAAGCAGTCTCCCCCAGGACCCTCCAATCCTACTTAACTGCTTGGAATGGTTTTTAAAAATGTCACCACGCTTACAACCTGCTTTTCTGCCAATAACTCTAGATATCTTAACCAAATGCATTTCCACTCTCCGCAGAGGCTACCACTCCATTCACAACGCCTGCACGCTCGATGCCATGTTCATATTGGCCTTCTTCGGTTTCCTCAGATGCTCGGAACTCACCATCACTTCCAGCTTCAATCCAA